TTGGGGTTTTTTTTTTTTTTGGTGTTTTTGTTTTGTTTTATTTTGTTTTTCGGTACAGGAGCTCAAACTCAAGACCTTGCACTTGCCAGATGTCTATGCTGTTGTGCTATCTCCCTGGCTTTTTGGGTTTTCTTGTCTTTTTGAGACAAGTTCTCCCTATGCAGTTCAGACTGACCTTGAACTCATTTTGTAGCCCAGGCTGGTCTTGAACTTGCAATAGTGTTCCTGCCTCAATCTCTGAGTGCTGGGATTACAGAAATGCACCACCACACCCAGTAATTTTACTTTGTGACTGATTTTCATTTTTAGTCACTCAAGTAAGTTTAAAAGTCAGTACAATTTTAGGGCCAGGAGATAGCTCAATGGCATAAGCTCCTAACTGGCAAGTGCAATGTCTGAAGTTTGATCCCCAGTACTACCAAAAAAAAAACAAACAAACAAACAAACAAACAAACAAAAACAGAAATCTACAATTTTAAACTGGGTGTCATGGCGTACACCTGGAATCCTGCCACTTTGGGAGGCTGAGAAAAGAGGATCGAAATTCCAGTCTCATCTGGACTGTGATCTTTTACTATGATCTTGTTTCATAGTGGAAAAAAAAAAAAACAAAACAAACAAACAAAACTGGCTGCATACCACTCAAGAGGCTGAGGCAGGAGAATCGATGCAAATTCAAAGCCAGCCTTGACTACATAATGAGTCAAGGCCAGCCTTAAGTGCTTAGTGAGACTGTGGTCAGAAAGAAACAAACAGAGGGAGGCTGGGGATATAGTGCTGTGGTGGAGTACATTTGAGTTCAATCCTCAGTATCTCTGTCTCTCTCTAGCGCGCACACACACACACACACACACACAGAGCGGGTTTCCATAGTGTAGTGGTTATCATGTTCACCTTTACACATACACACAGACATCTAGGTCATCTCAAAAAAAAAAAAGTTTTATTTTGATTGTTCCTTGCGTGCAAATGTGTTTTAACCATTGTGTCCTACTATTGGGTGTCTTTATTTTTTTATATAGTGGTTCATATATGAACTTGTGTATGCCTGGGCTTTACTCAGCAAAGCTGTAAAGGATCACAGTGTTGTTGATCATTTGGTTCAGGTAACATTGCTGCCAGTTTGATACTTCTCTCCTTTTTCCCTCTAGGAATCCAAAAATCCTTGTGGAGTGCCTCACCCCTGATTTCCGAGGAGATCTTAAAGCAGTAGAGAAGGTCGCCCTGTCAGGATTAGATGTTTATGCGCACAATGTAGAAACAGTTCCAGAATTACAGAGGTGAGTTCGTGCAGTTGCTCTGGGAAGTGAGAGAGTCATGTTTTTTTAGTGTGTTCTCACTTGTCACTGCCAAATTTGCAACCAACTTTCCAAAGTAAACTCACTTCCTTCTTCCTTCCTCCCTCTCTCTTTCTTCTTTCCACTTTTCCTTTCTCCCTCCTTTCTGTTATAGAAAAATCAGAAATTATAGCCAACAAAAACAACATGATTGGGTTGGGGAGATAGCTCAGCAGTCTAAGCACCTGCCTAGACAAGCACAAGGACCTGGGTTCAATCCCCAGTACCACATCATGCCGTGCTCGCCCTATGCTGAGCCGCCCACCAAAACTGGGCGTGGTGGTACATGCCTGTAAGTCCAGCACTGAGGAGGCTGAAACAGGAAGAACACTGTAAGTCCCAACTGTGTAGTGAGACCCTGTACCAAATATATAAATAAATAAATAATTTTTTTTCAATTGAAAACAACGTGATTGTCACCCATATAGCCCCCTAGGAATATCACTTCCTGCCTCTTCATTGAAATGCATATGCTAAGGTGGCAGTGAGTGGTACTAATATATGTACATATATGTATTTTTAAAAAAATATATATATAATTTTTTATTTTCTTTTGACCAGGAATTGAATTTAGGATCTTGTGTTTTCTGGGCAGGTGCATATGGTGCTGAGCTATCTCCCTGACCTCTGATTTGGATATTTTTATGAACATCTTTAAAAAAAATTTTTTTTTAAGTTTTTATTTATTTATTTGGTACAGGGTCCTGCTACACACACAGGTTGGACTCATAGTGATCCTCCTGTCTCAGCCTCCTTGGCGCTGGGATTACAGGTGTGCGGCACCACACCCAGTTTTGGTGGCCAGCACATCCTACCTGGGGTTCCGGAGCCAGCATGGTATGTGGTACCAGGGATCAAACCTGGGTCTTTATGCTTTCCAGGCAGGTGGTTAGACCACCAAGCTATCTCCCAACCCCAGAACATCTTTTTAAATAATACTATCCCCCTGGGTGTATTGGTGCATACCTTTAATCCCAGCACTCTGGAGGATTTGACAGGAGGATCGTTATATATTATATATATATATATATATTATATATATATATATATATATAATATATATATATATATATTATATATAGAGGCTATATAGCAAGACCCTGTTTCAAAAAGAAGAAATAAAAGTAACATGTTGCAAATGCCAATGAGTATTTCTTTTTTGAAAGAACAGTTTTCAGATGGAAAAAAGGTATACTGAAACAATTGCTTTGGCTGTAATTACAAAAAGAGTTTAAAATATATTTGGGGGTTGGAGGTGTAGCTCAGTAGTAGAACATTTACCAAGTATGTGTAAGATTCTGGGTTCTATCCTTAATGTTCAAAAAAAAAAAACCCACACATAAAGGATGATTATCATATACAATGAATGCTTAAGTTTTAAAATATTTATTATAGTAAAAGACATTGCCATTCAGCCTTCCCCAAAATACTCCCCATCACTTTGAACACACTTACCCCATCCTTCTTGTGACTTTCTGAAGCAGTTCCGGAAATCCTTTCATGACTCTCTATGAGGTATGATCAAAACTACAGTGAATACTGTTGCAGAGTGCCCTCCAACCAAAAGGTAGGCTTAGTAAAAAATCACGGTGTGTCCTCCCTCCTGATGTATAGGATCTGGTGCCATGTGACTTCTGGCTCTTTCCAAAGTCAGCATTAACAGGAAAAGTGCCACACTGGGCACCCTGAGCCAGCAACGAAGTCCAGGCATGGTGGTGTGTGACTGTAATCCTAGCACTGGGAAGGCTGAAAGCAGGCGGATCACTGAAGTCTGAGCTGTGTTGTGAGACCCTATACCACATACATTAAAAAAAAGAAGAAAAATAAATGTTTTTCATTCATTCAGGATATGGAGACAGCGATAACAGCACAGCAAGAGACAAAAAAAGAGTATTCCAGGGCCAGGGATATAACTCAGTGGCACAGTACCTGCCTGGCAAGCATGAAGTCATATGAGTTTGATTCTGGTGCCAAAAGAAAGACAGACTGACTGACTGACTTCCAGAATGCTGCAAAAAGTACCAAGAATGATGAGATAACTGTATTCAAAGTGAGAAGTATTTTGGGGCTGGGGAGATAGCTCAGTAGAATAAGCGCTTGCCTGGAAAGCACAAGGTCCTGAGTTCAATCCCCAGTACTGGAAAAAAAA